TCTTTTTTAATCAATCAACATGTAAATGAAGTTTTGTAAGTTACGTTTCTTTGAAAAAAAAAATGGATAGCACTAAAATTCAAAATTAAAGCTAATGATGCAAAAAAAATAATGAAAGTTGAAATTATACAAAAAATATAAATTGGCAGATACAAAAATTGAAAGTAAAGGAGTAAAAAAGTTAGAAAAGAATTGAAAACAGAGTAGGAAAATTTTAAAAAAAATTGAGACAGAAACATTTTAAAAACAGTTAAAACTGAAAAAAAACAAATTTAAAACTATTTTTTTTTATAAAAAAATAATAATGCTTAAATAAATATATCTAAATACATATTTTAGCGGTGATAATATTTTTATCGATCTCATTTTTTGTTGTGTTTTAATTATTTAAGTGCCATCATAAACGAAGAAGGCAAAACAAATTATTCAAGAGTGTGGCTGCTTAAACTAGTTTTCCTTCCCTCTTAGAAAATCCCACCTTCTACAAAATATGCCTCTCTGAAAGATAAAGTTTGTGGTCCCCGTGTCCCGAGGAAATATTCCCCCACGAAAATGAAATAGGGTGGGGGAAGGGGGAGCCATCTCTACTTTTTGGGAGTGAGTGCGGTTCGATTAAGATTGATGTCAGAGACTTACCCTCTGAACCAAGTCCTGACCTCAGTCCCGCTTACCTCAGAGACATCTCTGCACTTAGGTAAGTCTTTCTCCCGACGTCAGTGCCTCTTACCTCAGTGCTGACTTCTTGGGTAAGTGCTTTAACACTTACGTCAGAGAAAACTGAACTGACCTCAGAGCAAATTCACTGACCTAACACTTGCCATTTTTACTAGGGTTTTTATACCCTGGACAGCCTTGATGGTCACCATCATGCATGTCACGTCTCATTTTCGTGTAAAATTAATTTTTAAAATTTCATTCAGACTCCTTGACTATAAATACATAGAATTTGATAGCCAAACTGCCTTCTAAATGATTGTTGTTATTTTGGCTCACCTTTCTGCTTTCACATTTGGCCGCCATCGTGGATATGGGGCACCCTCTTTGACAGGAGGGCTTTTATGACTTCATAAACGAAATTTACGACCAAAATTACATAAGAAATGATACCTCACATGAACCTATATGCGCATTTTAAAAATTCACCCTCCTGCCTTTCAAAATTGGCCGCCATCTTGGATTTGGGGCACCCCCTTTGACCGGGGGACTTTTTTGACCCCTTATCTGAGTTCTACGACCAAAATTACATAGGGATTGATACCTCACATGACACTATATGCACACTTTAAAAAACCGAAATCCCAGAGGCCTTATTATGGCCGCCATTTTGAAATTTAGGCATTTTGGGGGGTGTTCCGGGGTCGGACCGTGGTAAACTTTTGGTATGTTGTTCAGGAGGACCTACTGATGACGTTTACGTAGGAAAAGTTTGTTAAGCAATTTGTTCCGGGTCAAATCGTATTTCTCCCTGACTATTGATTATATTGGTGGCTGTGTAACAGCCAAGAAACCATGGACTACCCTGGAACCTCCATCAAGATTATGGGATCATGCACCAACTTGAATTCCTTGAAGATCTCACCACGTTACGAAAAGATGACCTAACAATGTCTGATTATGTTTCGAAGCTGATGGACCTTAACAGAAAAGTCAAGAAAGCTGGGGTTGAGTCTGAGGACTACGATTTATCCTTATTTCTTTTACGAGGTCTACCTAAAGACAGGTTTGAAATTTTCATCCGCTCTTTAGAATTTAAGGAAGCCTTAGATTTTGATGATGTTGTCTCTAAGTTGTTAATCGAAGAGAAACGCCAGAAACGAGCAGAGGAAATGGAAAGCAAAGAAGACGAAGTTACAGTAATGGCAGCCTTCACGAATTCAGGCTCAAAGAAGAAGCAGTGGAACGGTAAATCAGATCCGAAGAAGGAGAACAGATCTGAACCGACTAGCAAGCAGTCTCAATCCAAAGGTGAGCGAGTACATGAATGCTTTACCTGTCGTAAATTCGGACATGTTTACCGTAAATGTCCTGAGCTCAAGGAATTTCTCGCCCAAAAAGCCAGAGAAGATTCCAGTGGCGGTACAGCAAAAAGTGCCGTCAGTAAAGTATTAGAAGTAGTGAATAATGCAAGGTTAGGCGTATTGTCTAGTTGGTACAATAAACAAAGGAAAGAAGAAGAGGCGTTGGTACCTAGACACCGGTGCGTCAGACCACATGAGTCCTTTGAGAGAAGATTTTGTTGAATTCAGTGACAAAGTTAGCGGAGTGATCACAATGGGAAACGGGGAAGAAGCCTTCATACAAGGTAAAGAAGGTTATCATCAAAATGCCAAAAGAAGATGGTGGGTCAATTGTATTTTTATCAAACGCTCTGTATGTACCAGAACTTGAATGCGGCTTAATGTCTGTCGCAAAACTTACGGATGGGGGTTTAAACGTTGTTTTCTCAGGCAATAAGGCAATGGTGATGGATGATGATACGCTTATTTTCAAAGCGCAGAAGAAGGAGCAAGTTTACATCAATACCTCAAATGAAGATTGTCATATTATGTCTGAACTCGATCAAACGAAGAATGCCCTTAGATCAGGAATAGCGTGTAAAGCTGTAAGAACCCAGTTGTGGCATGAGCGTATTGGGCATTTACATAAAGAAGCCCTAAAGAAGATACCTGCCATGAGCAAGTCGAAGAATGCCGAGAGTCTAGCAGTTTGCAGCACTTGTATTCAAGGAAAGTTTTCTAAGCCTAGTTTTCCCAAGGTGCGTAAAAATAAGTCGCGGCAGATTCTGGAAATTGTGCATAACGATCTTATGGGAAAAATATTCCCCCATCTTTAGGAGGATCGGCCTTTGTCATGACGATGATTGATGATCATACGCGTTTTGTTACGGTTAGCTGTTTGAAGAAGAAAAGTGATGCTTTGGATGTTTTTAAAATTTTTCAGAACCTCACTGAGAACCAGAAACAGGCAAAAATATGCGCATTCCAGTCGGATAATGGAAAGGAATCCGGAAACAAGGAATTCATTCGTCATCTAGAAGCACATGGCATTGTAACCCGAAGAAGCGTTCCTGACTGTCCACAGCAGAACGGATTAGCAGAACGTATGAATCGTACCTTAACTGAAACGGCACGATGTCTCATGATCCAATCAGGTGTTCCGCATAATTTTTGGGCAGAAGCTGTTGAAACAGATGCTATGCTAAATGGTCTCCGTGGCGACCACTTTTTCTCTTCATCTTAACCTAATATATATGAAAAAAGAAAGTCCTGCTTGTATGATTCTTCCAGCCATAATTTATCCTTAAAAAGGTATTATTAATAAAAATGTGTTAATTTATCTATAATATTGTTGACCTTTTTTCTGAGCTCAACAAAGTGGTGACCCCGACGTGATTCTTTTCTAGAAAAGAACTAATTATACTGTTGTGTGAAGTTATGAGTCTATCTCTGGTTATGGCTTTTGCTGATATCAGAGACTCAGTTGTTGGTTATGGCTTTTGCTAATACCATGGATTTTGAACGGTTATGGATTTTGCTGATACCGGATGGATCGTTTCAAAGGTTATGGCTTTTGCTGATACCTCGGATCCTTTGAGGATTTCACAGTGTTGATATCCTCTAGACTGGCCAGTCAAAACCTTTGTTGTATGGCTTTTGCTGACACAACTATCGGCTGCACTGCATGCCTTTTCTTCTGTTGTATGGCTTTTGCTGACACAACTATTGGCTGCACTGCATGCCTTTTCTTCTGTTGTACGGCTTTTGCTGACACAACTATTGGCTGCACTGCATGCCTTTTCTTCTATTGATATGGCTTTTGCTGATCCAATTATTCGCTGCATTGCATGCTATATATTGTTCTTTCTTCCTCTAGGTTGTTTTAATCAAGGACTCCTAGAGTTTTTCGCTTAATTTGTCAACGAGCATGGAGATGACTACTAGATTAGAAGCCCTGCTGTCTACTAAAGAACAACTGATTTTCCAGCTACAATGCTTCGAGTCTGTGGTAACAGAAACCAGCGTTTCATCATCAAGCCCCAATTTCGAAGGAATTGAAGCTCGATGCAATAACTTGAGTCACTTCATGGATCAAATTGCACGAGTAACGCACGACATCAAGCGAATCAATCCAGACCTTTTTGATCAGCAAGAATTGATGCAAATCGAACAAAGGTATTATTCCAACATTGGCAAAGCAAAGACAATGCTAAAATCAAGACCCGAAAATGCTGACACCGATTTGCTCAGTATGGCAGTGCAGCAGAATGCAGTTACAACTGTGGATTTGATTAAAGCTTCAAAATTTAAGGTCCCAGATCTGCCCAAATTCGAAGGCCGGTACAGTGATTAGACAGCATTTAAACAGATGTTTGACTCTCTCATTCATAACAACACCGCAATACCTACAATTTTGAAATTCCATCATTTGAAATATGCATTGGGCGCCAAACCTGCACTACTGATTAAGAATCGTGGGGAGAAAATGGGGATTTAAGCGCAAAAGTTTTTAGCCAAATTGTGCAGAAAAATATGAATTAAATTACAGCGTTGTATAGGGATTATTGTACAATATGGCAACGCTGTAAAAAGNGGAACGACTCCCCCCCCCTTGCCGCATACACGCGCTGCCATCTTTTTTAAGTATATCAATTGGACTACATTTTGCAATTTGGAACTATGAATCCTGGCTCTTCTGGAAAAACACTTATTTGCATAGGGAAACTAATGGCACATACGTTGTTTTTAAACCGGGCAAGAATTTATAGTTCCAAATTGCAAAATTTATTCCAATTGCAAGACAGAAAAGTAACAATTATCACCATGCATACCTTGATGAGCAATCTTCGTAAGCCCACAAAGCACATCACTGTCATTTCCTATTATTCAGTCAGGTATTGATATCTTGACTGATCTTTATTGTACGATTTTATTCAAGCAAAAGTTTTTACTTGACACACATTCACCTCATTTGTTGACAGATTTGCAAAGATTTCGAGACTATTTACCCAGGAAAAGGTGATCTACTTCTAAAAAATTGGGACAAATTTTCGACCAAGATAATCCGGCATGCCTCAGTCTTATGGCAACAAAGCAAAGATTTTAAAAGGCTCATTGAGTCTATGAGGATTAACTTGAATGCTGAAGGTAAGTACCTGTTGGTACCTGGACATCCATTTGAATCTCAAGACATTGAAACAACATCAGTAAAAAACTAAAAAATTCGCAGACATTGTCATGCACACTTGAACCAAGTTAAGCTGCCCACTTTTTCTGTTTTGATAAGAGGCCTTAAAGGTGAAACAGTTTCTATAAGGAACCAATAAAAAAGGTTGTTTTATAAAAATAATGTCACCATGTAATGCATCATAGTGTGGCTACCCCGCCGGTTTTGAAAACTCTCTGATAATGTAGCATGGTGTTTATGCACAAAATGTCGTCAATTTTTTATTCTTTTCTTTTCTCAAAAAAAAAATTTGCTTTAGCCGACTCCATGCTCTTGATCTTCTATGTTTTTCTCATCCTGAGCATGGGCTTTCAGATTCTTCACCCTGCCTTTTCTTCATAACTAAGATCCTTGATAACGAGCTCTCCGAGTTTTAGAGGTGACTTACTTTAGTTTGTTAATGGTAGTGGCGGAAAGGTTTTCTCCGCGTACCTTCTTAAGACGCGTCTGCTGTTCAATGTACTGTTATTTCTCTTGTTTTTTCCCGTGTAGACTAGGCTTTTGGAAGAGGCTTGGAGGATATAGAATATATGAGGTACAGAATATATGAGAGGCTTGGAGGACAAGGCGCATAAGTGCATTTTTTTAAAAAAATTAAGATACTAATGGTTTCAAGTAGGAATAGTCTTAATGCGTGTTCTGGAAAAAAATCCGCTCTTAAATTCCAATTTTTAAGCATCAAAAAGTCAGTTTGAACTCTCTCTCTGCCATGAGGATCCGTGTAATTTCGAAATTTCTAACACGTATTTCTCGAAATCGCAAAAATTGCACTTTGTGCGCCTTATCGTCCTAGCCCCTCCAACAGCGTACCTAGGTCATTATTCTGGGGGCGAGGGGTCTGGCCCCCCAACACCGGGGGTCTCAGGGGTATAGAATACCCCCCGCTCAGAGGAGGGGTCCGAATGGCCTCCCCCAGAAAATTTATGAAATTTTAACTCTATTTGAGCGCATCTCGAGGCATCCGTGGCGCTAATCTTCCTTCAATTTCTGTACAAAAAGTATCCAGTTTTATGCATTTTAGGATTAAAATACTATCAAATTGTTGCATTCAACAGGTTTTTCTGTTTCTTTCCTTACTTTTAACCACTCTTTTGTGTGAAAAGTGAGAAAAATTGTTCCAATAAATGCCAGAATCATTGTTCTTTATCGGGAAATGCCCATGCAAAGTAAAATATAATATAATGTGCGAGACGTAACTATGAATGATTAAGCATTTTTTCAAATGTTTTTGCACCATCCAGAATATCTGGGGGGGAGGGGGAGATGATACTTTTTTAATTTTGGGGCGGGGGCAGCCCTCCCCCCTTCGCATGCCTCTGAGTCCCTCATATATGGAGAAAGAAGCAGGCTGGAGAGTGAGATACTCTAACAGGATGTGAAAATTCCCATTATATAAATTTAATTTTCCAATAAATATCTACATTATTTTATGGTTTCAATTTATTTTGCTTTCAGACGAAAAAACTCGAACAATAAATTCCCTATTACTACTGCCCATTCTGCTTCCATCAATTCCAGTAAATAAAAAATGGAAGCCAAGCAGAATTGAAAGCAAAGATGCTTTCCTGTTGGCGACAGAGAATGCTCAGGAAGCAGCAAGAAAATTGACACTTCGAAGATTGCATATCAAAAAGTTTGGGTTCCCTGAACAGCCAACAGCGGTCGTATCAGGTATCAATCAGGACATAAACGTTTGCATCGGCCATATAATCTACACGTGTGACACTGCCTTAGCAGCAGTAGACATATGCTGCAAACTGTTGATCATGTTGAAAGCACCACTACCACCGGATGTTTTACTCCCCGTATTGTTTATAAAAAGTTTTTTGTATGAGGTTGAACCTGAAGATGCACTCCAGTATCCATGTTTGACTACGTTGAAACATGAGCTCATGCATCATTAATTTCAAGCTCTTTGCTGAATCTTTTCCTGATCTCATTTCTGCTCGCAAATTTTTAGATAAGAAAACTCTTGTTGTAGGTTGAGGAATAAGTAAAATCATTTCTCCTTTAAAATTCTCATAAATTCATCCTATAAATTCCTTAATTTAAGTGTAATGATACGTCTTTCCTCCGAATTGGTATAATTTCTGTAGTTCAGATTAAAAAATGATCCCTTGCGTAAAATCCAGGTGCAATCGCTGCTTTGTCTCTGTTGATGCTCTTTTCAGTCACCTACAGTGTTTTCATGGAGTGACGCAATTAGATCCAGTCGAATGTAAATTGTGCCACCGAACCCTGAATTTTAAAGCTTTCAAAAAACATTTTTTGCAAGTACATAAATGTCTAGTTGCAAAAAGCAAAAAATGCTCATTAGGTCAAAGCAGTGTTTCAAATGGCTCGCAGGAGCCTGCTCTTTTGAGCACTATTGCAGATCAACTTGGATCCTCAAATTTTGAAATTGTTGACAACGAATCCTTAGAGAATGTTTCAACCTCTGGAGCTTCTGGCACTGAAATATCTGAAAATATTTCAAGCTCCTTTCCTGAACTGGTTGAACATGTTGCACCTCTTGAGAACTCTGTCATTAGTCAAGTGAACCATGAGCTAACTAATAAAACTATCAAGGAGGCAATAGAGTCTAAAGTTTTTAATTTTTGCAGCCTTATGTACAGTTCCCCAAGCATTCCAATGACTCATGCTGAAATGACTGTAAAATCAGTGATTGATCTGGTTCAGAGCATCAACAGTGCCTATAAACATAAGTTTTTGCACCATTCCACTGATACAGTCAATGCAAATTTAGAATATATCATTCCAAACGTGGAAGAATTATTTACTTTCGTTGAGGAGACTTTTAATTCTTATAAGACAAACTATCGTACGATAAAAATTTTAAAGGAGAAAGGGTTCTACGTGCCCCCAAAACCTTTAACTTTAGGTTACTCATTTAAAAGAAGAAAATTTAAGAAAAAATTTTGTGTTGTGCGCACCAAAGAGACAAGTTTCTTTATTCCACTTCGGCATGTTTTCCGTTTATTTTTGGAGCAAGAAGGTGTCTTGCGGACTACGCTGGATTACATGGAAAAACTTAAGACCGAACACGTCATCATTGAAAATGTCATTCAGGGTCAATGCTGGAAAAATGCTACAAAAGGTAAAGACGGCATTATTCTTCCGCTTTTCCTTGATAACGATGATATTGAAGTAGGGAATGCGTTGGGAGGACACGCTGGCGTCAATAAAATAAATGCCACTTATTGCTCATTACCTTGTCTACCACCAGAGATGAGATCCTCCCTAAATCATATATTTTTGGCTCTTTTGACTAAGTCATCGAACTTCAAACGCTTTGGGAATAGTCAAATTTTCAAACCAATAATTAAAGAATTAAAATTTCTCTCTAAGGAGGGAATCAGTGTGACATTAGACGGCCAGATTGTCAAAGTGTTTTTCCAACTTTGTATATTGATTGGCGATAATTTAGGCCTAAACAGTATTGCAGGTTTTACGCAGAATTTTTCAACCAGTCATTATTGTTGTAGAATTTGTTCAGCTAACAAGAGACAACGACAAACTTTGACTAAAGAAGTAGAGGATCTCCTTCGCACAGTCCCAAGCTACGAAAGAGACGTAAATAAGAAAAATTTTCAAGAAACCGGCATCCATGAAAAATGTGTTTTCCATGATCTTGATAATTACCATATTGTAACAAATGGTGCAGTAGATGTGGCTCATGATCTTTTTGAAGGAGTCGTTCAATATGATCTATGTTTCATTTTGAAACATTTTATATGTACGGAAAAATGTTTTACCCTTTCAATAGCAAATGACAGAATAAGCAAATTCAACTATGGTTCTGCAGATATTGGCAGTAAACCTCCCCCTTTGCCTGAAACTTTGAAAAAAAGGCGAACATTGAAGATGTCTGCCTCTGAATGTGCTTGCCTTCTTAAGTACTTCGGGCTCCTCTTCGCTAATCTGGGCCGGCCAATACCTGAGAATGACCCAGTTTGGCAACTGTACATAGCTCTCCGCAAAATTGTTGATATTGTCATGAGCCCAACTGTAGATCTTACAGTTTGCAACCTCTTAACCTCCTATATATCTGAACATCATTATTTGTACAAATGTTTAACAAAGAAATGTCTCCCTTTTAAATTTCATAGTATCACTCATTATCCAGGCATTATGCGAAAACATGGACCTCTGGTGCATTTTTCTTGCATTAGGTTTGAACATAAACATCAAATAATAAAAAGTGTCAGCAATGCTGTCGCAAGCCGAAGAAATATCTGTTTAACTATGGGTCGTAAATGTCAATTAAAACTAGGCCATGATTTTCTTTTAAAAGAATTCACAGAAAATAAATTACGTACCGGGCCGGACAAAGCGTTTAATAATAATGAACAATTTTTGGCTGAAATTGAAGATTTTATCTTTACCACACCTATCCCTAGAATCTTGAAAGATAAGACTACAATCAGAACACCGTGGGTTGAATTTAAGGGCACCCGTTATTGTGAAGGAGAAACTCTATACGTAGATGTAGATGAAGTTACCAGTCTTCCAATATTTGGTTTTATAAAAAACATTTTTGTAAGCAGTGGTGGAGTTGTTTACTTTCTTCTCAGAAATTTCAGAACAATATCTTTCAATGAGCATTTGTACTGCTTTGAACTGGAGTTGGCAAATTCATATTCTGTTTTAAGTCATGAAAACATATGTTATTTTCACCCTCTGAATGCTGTGTCTGTATTGGATGCTAATTTTTTTGTTACGTTGCTTTATGATTTATAAAAGTATGTAGTATAATTCTTCCCACTGAAGGAGCAATGCACCTATACCTAGATTTTTGGTGAATAATACGCTCCTAGATTTATTGTAAATCCTAAGTTTTTCTCAGTAACATTAGAAGGGTACTAAGTAAACTTCTCCCGCATCCAAGAAGTATTGCTGCTTTATATATTTTTTTTCTTCTTTTTTTCCCCCATTATTTTTAATAAACTTCGCTCCGCAAGCTGTTATTCTACCTGAAATTCTCGCAAATTGCTCCCACTCCTCTTATTTTACCTCTGAAATCCAATTGATAAGAATATGGATTACATTTTACATGTAGGGGCTAAGAGTATTGCAACTTAGCAAAATTTTCACAACCATTTTCTCCACATTAAAGTAACTTAAAGTCCGTACAGCTATTGTGACATGCATCAGAGGCGTGTAATTTGGAAATCGCCAAACTAAAAGGGGGGAAAGGAGGGGGAGAGAAGCCTTTCGCATGTCAAAAAAGAAGTCGAAGTCATGTTATTAATTAATGTTAACCTTTAAATTATGTTTACCAGATGTGTTGATTTTTTAGTTTATTATGTTTTTATTGTCTGCATTTCTCTTTATCAATTTGATATTTTAAATTTGCATTCTATTACAAGTTAAGATTTTAAGTCCACCACATAAGTGCATTTTTATTATAAGTTAAGTTTCTTTTTTTACGTCCATTTTCGATGAATTGTTTTTCAGAAACGCTTAGTTATTCTTTAAGCTATTATTTTTATTATGCGTATTCCCTCAATTAATACTTTCCTTTAAATTATGTTTACCAGATGTGTTGATTTTTCTTTCTTTAACTCATGGTTTATTATGTTTTTATTGTCTGCATTTCTCTTTATCAATTTGATATTTTAAATTTGCATTCTATTACAAGTTAGAATTTTTAGTCCACCACATAAGTGCATTTTTATTTTAAGTTAAGTTTCTGTTTTTACGTACATGTTCAATGAATTGTTTTTCAGAAACGCTTAGCTATTCTTTAAGCTATTGTTTTTATTATGCGTATTTCCTCTTAATAATTTGACATTTTCGTATTACTCTCTACCACTTTATGTTTCTTCTTTAAATGGGTCAGTTTTGTTGGTAACAGAATCTTGTTTTGATGCTTGATTCTTGTAGGTCAGCGAAAAACCATAATATCTGTCCATACAGCAACTTTCTACGTTCAGTATTAATCGAGATATCGCGCTCTGAAAAATTCGGTTTATGACGTCATCACCCTTACTGATGAAAGCAAGGTGGAAGAAATCATGGGTGCCACTACCGCGGTGGATGACGTCAAAATCTTACTTTTCAAAGCGCAATATCTCTGTTCATATTGCACGTAGAAAGTTGCTGTTTGGACGGATCTTATTATTTTTCGGTGACCTACAAAAATCAAGCATCAAAACATGATTTCGTGAATAGCGCAACTGACCCACTGAGCTAGTTACTAACCAAGTTCTCATACGAGGTGCCTTTTGTCAGATATGTTGAGTTTTCAGTTTATTTTTTCCTCTCATGTACATATTTCATTCTTTATTTTGTTTGTTTGTTTGTTTGTTTGTTTAAAATTATAAGTCAAGTTTGTTTTACCATGTCCATTCTTCCGCATTGACATTTTCCTACTTTACCCTCTGTCATCGTAGTTGAAGTTTTAATTCTGAGCTCTCCCATTGACTGAACTTTATGCTTCAACGGCATTTCACAGTGAGGGAAGTTTCTAGAAATTTCTCCACTACTAATTATTCATAACTTCTGATAATATACCACACCCGATACTAACTTTATTTTGGAGAAACGCCCTATTCTCTTTTCCATAGACACCTTCTTAAATTATCTTATGTATTAATCTTTTTCTGTCTTCACCCTATACTTTTTTACAAACTTCTAAAGAGCCTCACTCGGATTTTTAGATTCATTTTAGACTACCGATGTAAAGTCTATCGACCGTCACCGCTGGTCGAAGCTCCCTTATGTCCCCCAATCCTCTTTTTGACTTACACAAATGAACCATTTTTAACATTTCCGCATCTCTTAAAGGTCTATTATTTTTGAACAATACCTGCAAATCATCCGTCAAAAAAGTTTCCTTTGTTTTTTCCGTTTTTTTTTTCTAACTTTTCTTGTACACTTCAATTTGTATATACCTCTTACTTTTTTGCTTAGTTCTTATTTTGACGTAGATTCCATTTTTATTCATCGAACATGTTTGCAATATTTACTCACATGATACAAAATCCATAGTTTTAAGGATAGCATATTTAAGAAAACCTGCAAATGATTTTTCCTGCTCTTAAAAATTTCATTTACAATTAAGATACCTCCACATATGGTTTAACACGAATTAGGTACAGTAAAATAATTTGTCTTGTCTTAGAAAACCAAGGCCTCGAAGACATCACGCAGGTTGAGAATCTTAATTTCCTAGCTTTCTTATATTCTGCTTTGATTATTTTTATTTCTTTCCATGTAATTCTAGGGCATGATTTTTATAATCATCAGCACATCTCTATTTTTAAACTTGCTTTATTTGTCATAGCCTCCTCCCCCTTGAGTATTGATCCTAGTAGAACTCTGTTCCACATTTCTTCCCACGAGTAGATAATAATACTTTTAGATTGTCAGAAATGATGGTATTGACATTGATGTTCTGTGATAACTTTCCCCCCTTTTATTACTCTTTAACCAAGTGAAATTGTACCAACATTTTTTTAAGAATTTTCTCAATGTTTTCATTTTTTTGCATAGGAAGTATAATTAAGTTGAATTTTTGTTTCATTTTCACTTCTTACAATGTCTAAGTTTATGTTATTTAAGATTGATAAGTAAAAAAAAAAAATAAAATAAACAAAATCAAAAATAATTTCAAGATTCAACGTTCTTTTTTTCCACTGTCTAACGATTTAAACAAATTTTGATCCGCAGGAAGTAATTACTTACTGTTTTTGGAGGAAAAATATCAATTTTGAAGTTGAAGTTTTTACAAATAAAACGTTAAGTAGGGCTGAAACCTGGCTAGCTTCCTTCTGATATACTCTCTTGCTTGATTTTGAATACTTAATTTTCATTATATTACAGTTTACGTTATTTACACACTGCTATGAATCTAGTGAATCCATATTTATTTATTTATTTGTTTTTATACTTCTATTAGTGCTGTTCTTAAATCAGGCAGAAAAAACTCTATAAATGCATAATTTAATTTACAGTGGACCTGCAATATTTCAATAGGTATGTATTTCTCTTCATGTCAAAGACACCTTGTAATTTATTACTTGTATGTACTTATCGCTTTGATTCAGACGTGTTTCACCTTCTTATACCTCCGTCATCCTCAGCACGCTGAGGATGCGGACATTATTTACCGGAGAAACGCGTCTGCATTAAACAGATGAATACATACTAGTGAGAAATTACATACTGTACTTTTGGACAGAGAGTATGTTATTTCGATAGTTAGGAACTGTTAGTTGAACTGACCATCCTCTGTTGATGAAACAGCTGAAAGGATGTTAAAAGAAAGGCCAAAATGAGTGCTATATTAGCAACCTAATACAATTAAATTAAACGGGCATGACTGCTACATTAACAGCAGCGTGCATTTAAATCAAAGAGCAAGCCGGCTTTTAGGCCAACAGCAGCGCTGCTACATCAACAGCAGCTCAGATGCAAATGCAAAAGTGAACTGGCTTTTGTAATAGCAGCGGAGCTGTCAAATCGACAGCGGCGCCGCTGCTAAATCGAACGCAGCGGTACTGCTCAATTGACAGCGGCGTCGCTGTAAAATGGAACGCAGCGGCACTGCTCAATTGACAGCGGCGTCGCTGTAAAATGGAACGCAGCGGCACTGCTATAACGACAGCAGCGTGACTATTAATGCAACAGGGGACTTGCTTTTACTTCGACAGCACAAGCTGCCAATGTGACAGACTTTTGGACGTAATTTCAGCAGATGTTGCCATCGGTTTAACTTTCATTCACGGTTACTATAACATCTTATAGCCGGTTAAAATGACAGATACGCGTGATGTTACTCCAACAACCAGGATGCTGTGCCGTTTTTTAACAGCCGAAGGCTGTCACTGTAGCAGTTGCGGCGCTTAAAATGACCGTTCTTTTTTTTCCGTGTATATAAACATATACTCAACGAGCTCTACAATACAACGCTTACTAGAATAAGACTTTTTCATCAGCGATACGAAACACTTAATGCAGACAATGCTCATGATTTTAGAGGCCAAGTTAAAAACTAATAGTAAATCATGTTCAGTATCCGGAAGACAAAGAAACATATCATCGTCATAGTCACAAATCAGTTTAATAGAGTGTCGAGTGCTTGAAGCTTCAAGTGCTGGAACTATGATTATTTAGGACTAAATCACATATAGAAACATATGAACTACAGAGAAAAAGAATTAATAACTTTAAGACGATTACAATTCTTACGATTTTTGACAACAATTAACACTGAACAACACATGTGATAACAATAGCAAAACCATCCCGGGAACTTATGAAATAAGCCGCTTTACTTTAATTTGACGCACTTTTCCGTGATAGTTATATTCCGAATAAATTCCCAAATTGTTCTTTTATTGACACTGAAAGAGTTTATTCAGGTGTTTTTGTTTTGGTTTGATAAAAAAAGCGCGCTAACAATGAGAATCGGCAGCAATATCCAGGCCAGGAGTTCTAGAAAACGAAGGACGTCCGGTAGCGTTTTATAATCTTTAAAACGTCATATCTCCGTTAATAATAAGTTTTGAAACATCAGACACCAAAAGGTATGGCCGTTGAATCTTGAAGAATCATTATGCCAAATTTCAACATGATCCTTCGAGTAGTTTTTTTGCTACGGGGTGATAAAAGTTAAAAAGCAGCGAAAATCAGCAACTCCTGATATTTTCTATATAATATACCGTCTGCCGAGACTGCCGACCGTTATCGGGTTATCGCCCCGCGTGTGTGTGGTTGCTGCAGAGTCGTTTGAAGGCGTTTTCTGGTCTTACTTTGGGAGGTTTTATTTAGTTGTTCTCCTTACATTTATATTTTTATCTTGGCGGGGAGATCTACCGATCTCCGTGATATATGTTTTCCACGGCTCTGTCCTAGGTTAGCAATATAAGTCGTTCCAGTTGAGCCTCTGAGAATGTGAAAATAACCAGGCCTTCAATTAACCACCAAAAACCCCCAATATAAGACAATCTATCTCATCTCATACCCACACCCCATTACTATCCCTTTATCTCCTACAGAATACTAACTTAAATCCCTAGACCTATTATGATACCTACCCACCCTTTCATCCCAGCCTTAATTG